GGGGGGCTTTTCTCTGTTTAGCAACTGTTTCAAAGTTCGCGGGGCTGTCCCCGATGCAGCAATCCCGAATTTGAGAGCTTTTATCATATTATGGGCTACACTGAAACCAGTCCCAATTGATATGTAATTTTGTACTGTGATAGATAATTTGAAGTTATATGTGAAGAATGTCACTGATTGGGTTTTGAAAAAGTTGGCAAGCCTGGTGAAGTTATAATAATAATATTAATAATACTAAAGAGAAAAATGAATAGACCAACAATAAAATGAATAATTTCTTAACTTTTCTGACTATGGAGGTGGGGGGGGGGTGTTGCATGGACATAAACTGCTAATACTTTTCCAATTACAGTACTATGGTGAAAGTAAGATTTTTAAAACCTTCGTGTGTTTATTTATTGATAGTCACATGCAGGTGTTTTTTTTCATTTTTTTTTCATTCGTTTCAGCATCTGGGCATGTGATCAAAACCATTTTGGGCAGCGCTACGTCGGATCTGTGTGTGTATCTATCGCTGCAGCAGAAGGCACAGGTGAGTTTTTCCAGCCTTTGAAAATTTAAAAACGTTTTTGCTTTATCGGATAAAAGATGTGCTACGTGCATGGTTGGAACCCTACCGTGGTAACTTCTCTCCTCTTTCCTATCCGTCAAATATGCCTTCCAGAACTTCAACTGATTGTTTTTTGTTATAGATGTTTTGTCACTGACAAATTTTGATTGAAGATTTTTGTCACAAATGCTGCAGACCGAAGGGCTAGAACCCAAATGGCCGCTGGATCGGAAAAGTAAAAGTAAAGTAAAGTCACAAATGCACCCATTCTGCTTACGATTTTCCCCCATTGCTTGTAAGGGCAAGCTGGCATGGCAGGCCGTTTTGAAAAGTGATGTTTGACACAGAGTCTTACACTGAGGAATCAAGTTGATAGGTTCAGTGGAAATTGCCTTAAATCAAACATTGTTTATCTCAAAACAGCTGTAAACCGAAAGAAGATAAAATATAAAATCCCTGTTTTTCTGTTTCTTCTGTTTGCGCAATGTGAGACCTATAGATTAAGTAATAATAATGCAATGTCTGTCGCGTCTACTCTTGTATAAAACTGCTCTTGGCGCTTAACAATGTCTTCATCTTTGCAATAGATACATATACAGGAAAGTGCGTAGATTATTTTGACTTCTGCATATAATCTTTTGAATTATACGAACCAACTGCTTTGCCGTCACATCTTGCCGATCTGCGATGTTTACCGCTCAGTTTCTGTGGATTTTCTCCGAAATGGCTTTGCCTTTGATGATCAGAGTTTTTACTATATGAGCCTTGTGGTGGCAAAGTGGTAAAAGTGAGACCCCCACAATACAGCACTGTGAAAAGTGGCGTAAAACCGAGTCTCTCACTCAACAGTCGATGCAAACATTGGGGTTTTTGTATTGCTGAAAACATATGAAGACTACAGGGGGAAAACGACGGTAGTCACAAACTGAAAATCGTGAGGGTACTAATTTTGTATTTCTGTTCAACTGTTGGTTGATTATTGTTGTTAGATTTCCCAATCAACAACACTTAACAATAAACCACCAGTCAAACAAATTTGAAGTTATGAGTCCACAAGCTTTTAAAATTGGCACCCTCACAATTTCCAGTTTGTGACTAGTCGTTTTTGCCCTTACTCTTCATATGCATCACTTCCTTAGGCTTACAAAGTTCTCTCTGACATTTTTGGCTTTTTTGAGTTACCATGACCATGGGGTCAAAAACCAAATAATCTATCTGCTCTATCAAAATCATATTACGATTATTCAGTCATTATCAAGCTATTCAAAAAAATTGCATTAAAAAAAGCTTGACATGTTGTGAAACTCAAAATTTGTTAACACCAAGTTTCTCAACACTACGTACTGTGCTGATAGGACTTTGTAATTCTGAGGTAGCGATTTGTTCATTGTGAATTTGTGTGTGAGACTTCCTCAGCTGATCACTCATGAATGATTTCTGGTCCACAGTTTATTTTCTTGACTCCCGAGCTGGAGAACGGACGTCTAGTGCTGAGACATGTCAGGACCATGGAGAGGGCTCCTCCGGTGAGTTACCAGGGTGGCTGGGTCCTAGTGTTTTACAGAGTTTAAAAAAAAGAAAGAGAGGGAGAGGAATAGGGAGGAAATGAGGGAGAGGAATAAGGAGAGAGAAGGGCCTTGTATGTATGAATTTGTACAGATTTTTAAAATGACAGAGAAGAAGATTGTGAAAACTTGCATGCAATATTCTACAGCAAAGGTATAGAAGTTTGCAGGAAATGTGTGCATATTTATCTACTTTGTGAAATTCTGAAATGTAACGCAATTCTCTCTCCCTCTCTCTCTCTCTCTCTCTCTCTCTCTTTCTCTCTCTCTCTCTCTTCCTTCTGGCGCTGTGACATCATAAGTGGTCAGCGATGCCGACAGCACGCAGGAACTCAACTCTCGCTCGAGGCTCCGTCAACAGTGCTGATCATGGATCACTGAAATGTCCCAGCAGTGTTTACCATTTAACATTAAGGAAGAACATTGACATTTCATCATCATTATCATCATCATCATCATCTTTGCCTTTCTCACCCTAGATCAGGGTATAGGCCACAAGCAAACACTTTCCACCTTTCCTTATTGGTTCGTGGGTTGGCTTCTTGACCCAGTGCCATGTCTCTCCACTCTTCTGTACGTCATTTTCTGTGACTCTTTCCCCATGTTGCACGTGGCCTTCCCCTTGATCTCTTGCCCTGTGGGTATCAATAACATTAACATTTGAAGCTATGATACTCAACATGAATATTTGAAGCTATGATACTCAACTTTAATATTTGAAGCTAAGATACTCAACTTTAATATTTGAAGCTAAGTTATTCAACTTTAATATTTGAAGCTAAGATACTCAACTTTAATATTTGAAGCTAAGATACTCAACTTTAATATTTGAAGCTATGATACTCAACTTTAATATTTGAAGCTATGATACTCATTCACTTTTTAAAAAGAAAAATAAGGTTTTTCTCAATCACTGTTTCCTTTTGCAGGACGATTTGGTGGACTTTTCGGTCACAGATGACTTCTTGATGTCTTTGTGGACCACACAGGCCGGGGAGACTTTGGTGTTGACTTCATCGCTGTCACAGTGAGGATTGATTGTTTTTTTTTACTTTTAGACTTTTAGCCTCTTTTTTCTTTTGTTTTGTTTCATCTATGTGAGGCTCGCTGACAAAAAGAGTTACTTCTCAGATGTTGGCCTCGAGAACATACACTCGTCTACTTTATAGGTTGAGTTTGTACAATTTATTTGTATTTAATGTGAGGTGTGTTGACAAAATGAGTTACTTCTCGCAATCCACGAATGGAAATATAGGCCAGAAATTCGCACATCAAATTTGTACATTTTAAACTGATCGATTTTTCTTCAAGTTTAATGTCTTTCATCTTTCCATATGCAAAATTATATCAACCCAAACTATAACTTTGATATAATCTATTTGTGTCCATAAGACCAGAATTAGAAAAGTCAGCTTCCTTCACAAATGATAGAAGATGTGTGTTTCACTTGGGAGAAATGGCATCAGTTGGAAAATCTACAAATATGACCCTTGTGTCAGTTTTGGGCTGACATCTCAGTTTGCAGATCGCGAGAAGGATCTCGTTTTGTCAGCACACCTCACATATCAGAGCAAGCTCTTTTACTTCTCTTTCTCGTTGGATGGATGTTTATGTTCAATATTAGTTTATAATGGACAAACTATTATATATCTATTTATTTATCTATATATTTTTAATGGGTTATTCCTGTTTATATATGGATTATGTGCTGTTTTTAGTGGTTTTGGGTACACTAGAACTGTTAGATTCCTTTTCTTTTCTTTGTATATCACACTCTAGTAAAGCCTCTAATGTGGGTGGTTGGCGGGCGCTCTGGTGTGGTCTGCACCTTCTTTCCTATCAAACATTTATCGTCCTTATCTCTCCTCCTCCTTTTTCTTCTTTCCTGTCAAACATTTATCGTCCTTATCTTTCCTCCTCCTTTTTTTACGTATGTTGCTCTCTTGTAACACATCTATTCTTTGGCACTAATATGACCTTATTGTGTTGCAAGTGCCGTAAAACTCTTACTAAAACAAACAGCTTCTGTACTTTTCGCACTCGTGCGACCTTTTTGTGTTGCAAGTGACGTAATACTCGTGCCAAATAAATCTAAAACACTGATTGATGCATTATTTAATTCTTCTCCCTCACAGGACGGAGATGCTGAGCGAGGGAGACTGGCTCCCCGTCCACCTGGCTCCCTCCAGCGACTTCCTGGTGGTGCCTCAGAGCCGCGACGCCAGGGAGGTGTACGTGGAGAGGATCTTCAGCCCCAAACTGTTCGCCCCGAGCGACATTGTCAAAGCTCTCAGCGTACGTGGTTTGTTCCTTTGTGTTGAATGTCTTTGACGAACATGTTAAAGTGTAGGTGTGGGTGGTTGGCGGGTGCTCTGGTGTGGTTTGCTCCTTCTTTCCTATCGAACATCTATCGTCCTGATCTCTGTTCCTTATTTTGTATGTTTGTTACTCTTTTGTAACACCTCTAATCTTCAGCACTTATATGACCTTTTTGTGTTGCAAGTGCCATAAAACTCTTATTAATACTTAACTTTAATAAAGAATAAGAGAACGTTATCAAAGCTCTCAGTGTAGGTCGTTTGTGTCAAATGTCTGTGGTGAACATTGTCAAAGTACGTTGTTTGTCTCAAATGTCTATGGTGAACGTGGTTGGCGGGTGCTCCGATGTTGTTTGCTCCTTCTTTCCTATCAAACACCTATCCTCCTTATCTCTCCTCTTTCTTTTTTGTTTTTGTTACTCTCCTGTTACACCTCTTATCTTCGGCACTTATATGACCTTATTGTGTTGCAAGTGCCGTAAAATCTTACGAAAACTAGCTATCCAGACTGTACCCAGTGGGTTTCGCAGACTTGTAGTATGTGCAGCCTGTATCTCTTCATCCCTGCGACTCCTCTCCAGTTTCCACATGGTCTTCCCCTTGTTCTTTTACCTTGTGGGTTCTACAATTACAATTTTTTTGTCTTCCCCAGGTGTACCGCCGCTGCCCCGCCCCTACGGTGGAGTTGGAGACGCTGTATAACCTGAACTCTCTCAAGGAGGAGGTGATCGGGGCCGTCGACGCGGAGGTGAATACCACCACAACAATGTTCTGTCGTCTGTTTTCGTCTCCACTCGCGCTCTTTAAAGATCCCTTGGTGGTCTAAAACCTATAAGAGTAGGCTTCGGCCGCCACCTGGGCAAAATTCAAAATTTCCTGCCAACTGAAAATGTGTGTCCCGCGCTCTCATATGACCTTTTGCAGTTGCGAGTGCTGTAAAACACTTACCAAAATAAAATTAAAAACCCCCAAAAAACCAATGTTAGTAGGTGGTTGGCGGGTACCCTGGTGTGGTTTGCTTCTTCTTTTCTATCAAACATCCATCATCCTGATCTCTCCTTCTCGTAACACCTCGAATCCTTGGCACTTATGTGACCTGTGCCATAAAACTCTTGCCTGAACAAAAAACAATGTCCTTATGGTGTCAATGTGCATTGCTTTACTCGAACAAACCATTGATTATATCCCCTCAGATACGTAACAATGATTGTCTCCCGTCAGACAGATCAAGATTTCTGTAAAAATAATTGTCTCCCGTCAGACAGATCAAGATCTCTGTAACAATAATTGTCTCCCGTCAGACAGATCAAGATCTCTGTAACAGTAATTGTCTCCCGTCAGACAGATCAAGATCTCTGTAACAATAATTGTCTCCCGTCAGACAGATCAAGATCTCTGTAACAGTAATTGTCTCCCGTCAGTTATGTAACAATGAAGTGATTGTCTCTCGTCAGATTCGTAACCTGGTGTCGGAGGACGAGGTACAGGAGGAAGCGTACACCAAGCTGGAGCAGGAGCAGTGGGAGAAGTTCTACTCCTGTTGTCACCAGTACAAGCAGGTCAGTGGGGGGTGAGGGTTGGAGGGATTGGTGGGGGGGGGGGGGGGGTGTCAGCCTGTTGTCACAAGTGGGAGAAGTTCTACTCCTGTTGTCACCAGTACAAGCCGGTCAGTGGGGGGGATGGTGAGGGTGGGAGGGGAGGATGAGAGGGGTGGAGTGGTGGTGTGAAGGGGGGGTGTGGGGGGAGGGGTTTCAGCCTGTTGTCACCAGTGGGAGAAGTTCTACTCCTGTTGTGACCAGTATAAGCAGGTCAGTGGGGAGTGGGTGGTCGAGGGGGGGCAGGGGTAGAGAGTGGAGGTTTGGTGTCAGCTTGTTGTCACAAGTACATGCAGGTCAGTGAGTGGTGGTTGTTGTTGGGGGGGTGGGTGTCTTTCTGGTTATATAATGTTGGTCATCTCTCTCATGTCACCAGTATGTTACTTTTTTATAAACTCTAATCTTCTGCACTTATATGACCTTATTGTGTTGCAAGTGCCGTAAAACTAAAAAATCCCCGCGGGGCAGTGCCACTGACTGAAGTGTCTTAAGGCCATTCCCAAAGGGGGGGATATATCTCATTCAAGCATAGTAGAATGGTAAATGGGCTGATTCATGTCACGCTCATAACTGTGCCTGATCTACAACAGGGAACTGCTGCTTTTTCTTTCCTGATCCTTACTATTATCATTTTCCTCTTCTTCTTTTGTATGTTTGTCACTCCCTTGTGACCTGTTATTTTGGGGTGCTTGATAGTCGAAGCAGACCTTGTGCTGTTGAAGCTAGAGAGGTGAGCAGTCTAAGTCTGATTCCCTGTAAAGACTTCTCTGTTGACACCCACCCCTTGGCGCTCATATGACCTTATGCAGTTGCGAGCGCCGTAAAACCTTCTACTATAAAAAAACAACTAAAAACCCCCCCAAAAAACAATTGTTTTTTTTTTTTTAATTACCAGGTGGGCGAGAAGGCGAAGGGTCTGTTTGCCGATCCTGTGACTGGTCTCTTTGGTATGATCAAAAAGGTGAGTGAGTGTGTGTGTGTGTGTGGCGTGGACTTGTGTACGGTGATGTCATCTTAGGTGCCTCGCTCTGACATGTTTTTTCATTTATCACGAAGCATACTGTTGGGTGTGGGTATGCTGTGTGTGAATGCAGCTATTATTATTATTGTTGTTGTTGTTATTATTTTTGTTATTTTTGTTGTTTTTATTAGTAATAGTAGTAGTACTATTTGTTATTGTTGTTATAATTATTAATGTTTTACCAATGATTTTTAAAATTATTATTATTAGTATTATTGTTACTATGTTATCCTTTTTTTCTTATTCTTTTATTGTTATTTTTATTATTATTTTCATTGTTATTCTTTTTATTTTTGCTGGAATTATTTTCATCGTTGTTATTCTTTCTTTTACCATTACGAATCATTAATTTGTCCGTGTTTCAGTCCACGTTCAGCCTCCTGCGGCCGTGCGACAGAACGGAGGAACTCTATCTGTCTCCTAGTCTGCGTCTGCCCGTGTCCTTTATCGACAGGCTGGGCTTGAGTCCGGATGGTGAGCACTCTTTTTTTTTGTTTTGTTTTTTTCTTGGGTGGGGGGGTTGTTTTCTTTTTGTTTTGTTTTTTTAAGTGGATTTTTTTTTACTTGTTTTTTTTTTTGGGGGGGGGGGGGGGGGTGTGTTCTGTTGTCTTGTGTCTTGGTTTTGTGGTTTTGGTGTCGACCGATATTTGTCAGTCACCTAAAAATGTGTCAGCTTGGTATAAATAGTAACGCTTCAAGAAAAAATAAAACAGGTAAAAGGGGGAATTGTTTGGTCTGTGATTATGATAAAGATGATGATGATGATGACAATGAAGAATATGATGAAAGATAGTGAGCGCTTGATTTTTTTTCTTCCATCAACAGAAGTGATCAGTCGCCATAGGGATTTATTTTTTTTTGTGTGTGTGTTCTTTGTCAGGTTAAGGGCGCGTATATGTTCTGTATTTGAAAGGATTGTTGTATGGTGAATGAGCCAGTATGGAGGAAACGTTAGATTTAAACCTTTGAGGGAGGGATCATGATTATGATTTGTTATTTTTTTTTTTTTTATTATTTTATATTATTTTTTTAAAATTTTATTATTTTATATTATTTTTTTGTAATTATTGTTATTTTTATTAATATTATTTTTTAAAGAATTAGATCTATTAATATTATTTAATTAAATTAATATAATTTTTAAATATTTTTTATTTTTTATGCTATGTCCAGATTGGGCTGAAGCAAAGATTCTGGGTTTGAGTTTACTCTTACAATACGAATAGCAGTTTGAAAAAGTTTGCTCACGTAAAAATGGACTGCTTAGAGTAAGACTCCACCCTGTGCCACTTTAAAAAGTGACGTATGATGGAAGTTTTACACTGCGTAGTCGAAATATGAACGGAAAGCAAAAAAGTCTCAGATAGGCCCTTTTGAAAAATGACATGTGATGGGAGTTGAATACTAACCAGCCTAAATATGAACGGTATGCAAAAAAGTGTCAGATACACCCCTTTGAAAAGTGACGTATGATGGAAGGCATACACTAAGCAATCGAAATATGATCAATTTATTATTTAAGCAAGAAAGTCTCAAATAGGCCCCTTTAAAAAGTGACATATGACGGGAATCTTACATGAAACAATCGAAATATGATCTACTTATACTGAAGCAAAAACATCTCAAAAACCTTTTCATCGTCTTTCTCCTCCCTGCCAGTGGTGTCGGCCCGCCAGTTCTCGGAGGACATCCGTCTGCTGTGCGACTGTATCCAGCTGATCGCCGATCACACCCCGGCGGAGGCTGCCTGTCTGCAGACGGGGCTCTCGGACACTTTGCTGCGCCAGTTCACCGAGATGATGACCGACATGATTGTGTGAGTTGGTGGGCCGTGTTGTTGTTGTAGTTGTTGTTGTGGTTTTTATTAGTTTTGTTTGTGGGTGGTTGGCGGGTGCTCTGGTGTGATTTGGTCCTTCTTTCCTATCGAACATCTAGTGTCATTATCTGCCCTTCTTCTTTTTTATGTTTCTTACTCTCTTGTTACACCTCTAATCTTCTGGCGCTCCTATGACCTTATGCAGTTGTGAACGTCATAAAACCTCTACTATCCAAAATCAAGCAGCAAAATTGATAATGAAACAAAAGAAATCAGCGCACGTAACACCAATTCTGAAAGAACTACACTGGCTGCCTATAAAAGAAAGGATTAAATACAAAACTGCCGTTCTCTGTTTTAAATGTATAAATGATAGTGCACCTTTTTATCTTAAAACATTCCTGGAATTATATAATCCACCTAGAGCCCTTAGATCAGCCTCTGACAATCTAATTCTTAAAACTCCAAAACAAAATTACAAAACATACGGTGAGCGTTCCTTTTTGTTCTTTGGTCCCCAGGTATGGAACGAACTCCCATATAAAATAAGATCTGCCCCAACAATTTCCATTTTCAAAAATCAGCTGAAGCAATTTTTATTCACAAAAGCATACCTGTCATAATGATGTACTGTGATATATATGTATGTGTATGCCAGACTGTGAGACTGAAGAAATAGCGAGTGAGAATGAGAGAGAGAAAAAGAGAGAGATAGAGAGAGAAAAGAGAGAGAGATAGCGAGAGAGGGAGAGAGAAAGAAAGATAGAGGGAGAGAGAGAGACACAGAGAGAGAGAGAGAACGGAAATGTTTTTCTATCTGTATAGAATTAATGTTTTAATGAATGTTTCTAGTTACTCACGTTTCAACTTTATTTTGACTGTTCGTGAATTTTTATTGCATTGTATGTTTTTAGTGAACACATTTTCAACCTCACTGCGAGACTGTTTTTCAGGTATAAAATTTTACACATATGCATTTATATTATATGTATAATACTTTGTTTTACGTACACCTTTGTGTCGATTAATTTTTAAGATGTGATGTCTTTTTCATTGTAATGCGCATTGAGCATCTTTTAGGAAATGGAAATGCGCAGTATAAATGCTATTTATTATTATTATTATTATAACTAAAACAACAAAAAATCCCCCAAAGTTTTGTCGAAAATTGCCAAACTGTATGAAAAATGCCTTTTTCTTCTATTTAATTATTTTGATGAGGGCATGATTTCACCACCATGCCTCGCATATTATTATAATTTTTAAAAAATAATTTTGTTTTATAATTTTTAAAAATTAAAAAACAATTTTTGTTTTGCCTCACATATTGTTATTTTAGTCTATTCTTATTCTTATCTCATGTTGTGACCGTGGTTCTGTTTGCCAGGATGGACCGCGAGGTGAAACAGACGCTGGCCACCAAACTGTCGTCCCTGGCCAGCCCCGTGGCGGCGGTGGAGACGTTGTTTACCTTACTGGAGGTCTACGTGGACCCTGACCTCGAGTTTATGGAGACTGCCGGTCAGTGTTTTCTTGTAAATGATACTAATGTACACTTTTAATGATACTAATAACATACACTTTTGATGATACTAATAACGTACACTTTTAATGATACTAATAACGTACACTTTTAATGATACTAATAACATACACTTTTGATGATACTAATAACGTACACTTTTAATGATACTAATAACGTACACTTTTAATGATACTAATAACATACACTTTTAATGATACTAATAACATACACTTTTGATGATACTAATAACGTACACTTTTAATGATACTAATAACGTACACTTTTAATGATACTAATAACATACACTTTTGATGATACTAATAACTACACTTTTAATGAAACTAATAACGTACACTTTTATTGATCCCAGGAGGGCAATTTGGTTTACAATGGCAAACATACATACATACCTGCTTACCTACCTACCTACCTACCTACATTAAATAAATGCTTAAATACATACATAAATATACGATATTACGCCAGTACAGAACAATTTATTACTATGCCTTTGCTGGTCAAACTATTATTATTATTTTTATTATTAGTCTATTATTATTATTGTTATTATTATCATTATTATTACTATTACTATTACTACTACTACTACTACTACTACTACTTCTGTTATTATCATTATCATCATCATCATTATTATTACTAATGTTATTAGTATTATTATCATTACTTTTTTTATTATTATTATTATTATTACTGCTATTATGGTTATTACTAGAATTACTATTATAATAATAATTATTATTATCGCCATCATCATCATGGCCATCATCATCACCACCGTCATGTGCCCCCCTCCCCCCCCCCCCTCAGATCACGCAGGCCACCGGCAGCACTGCAGCCACCTGTTCTCGGGCGCCCTCGGCGTGCACGTCCTGACCTCCTCCTTCCAGCAGCTGTCCAGTCTCCGCTTCCAGTTTGTGCGCGACCTCACCGTTCTGCTGGCCGCCATACCCAGGCTGGAGGAAGAGGTACCGCCTACGTTCCAACTGTGATAGTAATAATGATAATAAAATTATAATAATAATAATAGAAATAGAAATAATAATTATAATGATAATAATAATAGAAATAATAAAAATAATTATAAAAATAACAATTATAAAAATAATAATTATAAGAAATAATAGTTATAATAATAATAAATACAATACTAATAAAAAATAATTAAAATAATAGTAATAAAAAATAATACTAATAATCCGAATATTGACCGCAGTGGTTTCAGCACAATTGTAACACCCCTGATTCCAGTTTGTGCGCGACCTCACCGTTCTGCTGGCGGTGATTCCCAGGCTGGAGGAAGAGGTACCGCCAGTGGTCCTACTGTGTTACTAAAGATGAAAATAATAATGATAATAATAATAATAATAATAGAAATAATAAAAATAGTAATATAAATAATATGATAATAGAAATGATAATAATTATAAAAATAATAGTAATAGAAATAATAATAATACTAATAATGATAACGGAAATAATAATGATAAAAGTAATAATAAAAAGAAGAAGAAGTAAAATAGTAATAATTTTTTTTTTTTTTTAAATAAAAAATGGTAACAAAAATGATGTTACAAAAAATAATGATTGATAATAATAATATTATTAATAATAACACTATTGAAAAAAATATTAATGATAATGATAATATTAAGATTAATTATTTTTGATGTTCTATTTAAAATTCTTTGCTGTTATTATTGTGGTTGATAATATTATTGTTATTAATATTGTTGTTATTATTATTGTTATTTGTTGTTATTTTGTCTTTGTTCAGACAGGCCTGACTCAGCAGATGCGCGACACGATGAGGAGCGAGCTGCTGCCCAAGGGAGAGTACTTGCTGCGCTGTTACCGTCTGCTGGGCTGGGCCTGCGAGGTGCTGAGTGCAGAGAATACCAACAGCTCTCTGTGAGTGCCCGTGTGTGTGGTAGTGGTAGTGGTGGTGGGGAGGGGGGGGGTGTGAGGTGATGAGTGCTGAGAACTCCCAACAGCTCTCTGTGAGTGCCCGTGTGTGTGTGT